ACGAAGTGGGAAGAGACAGACTTCTGCAAATTAAAAAGATTCAAACGAAGCCTTGTGACTGCGCCGAACGTCACAGACCACTCAAGGCTGACTGCAGTATAACGGTAATTAGCGCTGCATCAAAAGTTTCATGAAAAAGGGTGCTACAAACATAAATAATAGAAGTACCAACGTGAAACCAACATGTTAACGGTTATAAACTATATGTTTTCCATTCTTTCAGACAGAGTCAGTTGCAGCATCGATAAGTTTCAACGCCATCAACAAAAGCGTCATGTTTTCATGTAAGCAGTATTGACAGCTAAACAGTTACAAAAGAGTAGTTTTCGGTTTCACTCCTACGAAGTGACTGATACTCATTTAGCGCAACAGTGAAAGGCGAATGCCTTAGCGCAGATTCAAACCCGCCACCTTTCCACTGCACTTCTGACACTATACAAATCTAGCTACATAGAGAATAAAATAGGAGACGATTCTCAAGTCTACGTAAATGTGGGTAAACTTCGATTACCTGCATTTTCGTTCAGCACTTTCCACTCTGTCCGATATATGCTGAACTCGGCGTTCCTCAGTTTTCAACGATGATTCGACTTTGATCATGCAGTTGTAAATGGAGCTCAACAGATTTTGCGCATTTCTATAAAGTATCGTCAGGTCTGCGCGGAAAACGATAGGTACAAAGCATGTCAGTTAACAAACCTGGAACTGGAGCCACAGCATTTTAATTCTGCACAGTGCTTTTGCATTAAATTCAGTTTCTTCTCGGTTTCGCAAAAAGAGTTTCGTAGTTCCGCCATTGTCGCCTCCATCTGAGGTGTGAGAGGTCGCAAACGATGCAAATCCAACATACGACTTCTGTTAGACTCATTGGACGTTGCGTTTAGCTTCAGAATCCACAACAATGAATCGAGGGACGATCTGCGCATGTTGCCAGTGCTCTCTTGCATCTTCTGTATAAGTAAACGTAATAACATATATGCAGCAGCAGCCTTTGTTCAGAGTGCAGATGTAGCGATAAAAAGATATTATCCCGTAGTCATCCCGCAGATTAACACAATGCTAGTTGTAAAGAGGTTGCTTGGCTGTTAAATATTTCATAAAATTATAAAATGCGAGAAGATGAAACAATCAAAGCAAAAAATTTTGATACCAATACAAAAAATGTACCACATAAACATACTAATTTGTGAGAACTATCGAGCAATCAAATCACTCAGCAATACTATGAAGGCGTATGAAAATGCCAAAAAAAAGCCTTAGGAAAAAATTTCGCATCATAGAGTACCAGTCTAGTTGAGTCTCAGATCATTCGATCATCATTTCTGTGCTATAATTAGGCTGCTAGTACAGAGAACGGAACAAGAACAATCACAAGAACTTCTCTGACACGAGAAAGGCACAAGATAAATTAAGGGAGATAATACAGAGGAGCATCAGGAAGTAGTACCTGAAACATATATTAAGCTAAGATAAGGACAATGGGATAACAGCAATAATTCATCCATAAGCGATAAAGCATAAGAATTTCCTGTGCGAGTAGAGGTACATCAAGGATCGACAAGGAGTGCTGTTCTCCATGGCAGCAGATACGCCATTTACCTGCGGCAAGCAGCTTTCTCTACGCAAACAATGTAGCACTGCATAGCAGAGGCATTTGAATTTAAACGAAAACCAATGCACGGATATCGATTTTTGCAAAAACAGGCTTTGGTAAAAACAGGGGAAAAAGAGAAAACTCGAGCAAACTGGAGAAGATGATTCGGTTTCTGCTGCCTAAAACTACAGCACTCACGTGTCTTGATTCCCATCTATAATTTGCGAAGGATTTCGACAGAAAATTAAGAATTCAACAGAAAAAGGCATGGTTTAACTGCAGAAAGGCGAATGGTGTGTTGATCTTAAAGAGATATAAGCAACAGCTTAACTCCGTAAAAATGTGAACAGCCAGACGAATGTGTGGTCTTAGCAACGAATACAACCGGAATACCTTCCTAAGGCCGCATATAGTGTAATTAAACAAAAAAGTTGATCGAAAAGACAGTTTACTGGTGCAGCTAAAACGATCACCTGACGAATGTAGCATACATACATAGATACATACATATATACTTACATACATACATACATAGATACATACATACATACATATACATACATACATACGTACATACATACACACACATACACACATACATACATACATACATACATACGTACATACATAGATAAATACATACATACATACATACATACATACATACATACATACATACATACATACATACATACATACATGCTGTTAAGGAAGAAAAAAATGCGAATACCAAAGAAAAGCAGCGCGACGTTGTAAAGAATGACTTGAAATGATGAAGGGACCAAGATTTGATTAAAGATCGAAAAATGTGCAAGAGTTCGAACAGCGAATATACTAAGAAGTAGAAAACGATGAATTGCCAAAGAAACTGCAGGGATCGAAAACTAGCATATGGCAGACAAAATCTTTACTAATCAGTAGCAGCAAACCAACAACCACCAAAGGAAAGGAAAAAGTTTCAACCCGGAAGACCTTATTGCAATACCTGCTTTTAACCCAGTAAGGCAAAATGTTGCGTTGTGAATGCCACATGTTTTGTGTTTTCCGTATCATCAGAACAACAATTGTAACAGTCCTAATCTTCGTAAATGGCGGCCCTGTAACATTCGGAAGAGTCGGGATGATAAAGGACAAAAGTACGCCGGCTGTCCACGCGCACACAGAAAAAGCGACATGATCAGGATGAAACTAGCATGAGCCACTCGCTCAGGAAGGAATCATTTGCGCCTAACAACTGGAAGTCCCAGTCAATCTTGGAGACTCATTAGCACTCTGAAGAACATTATAAAGTATACAATATTACATAATACATACACTATTCCATAATTGATTTAAACGCCGATATATTTGAAAACGTAGCATGTCCATGTTCAAACTCTGCCGTTGTCGGTCCCAAGACCGGTTGAGAAATGAGGAGGATTGGAGACGGTGGCTACGTCTCCTTAAAAGTTCGCCACCTGCCACTCAATGTACTGACGCCTTAGAAAGTTATACCGGCTCGGTCCTAGCACAGGTCACAAAGGGCCGCGCAAGCTGTTGGGGGAATCAGGAAGACTATGAAAAGTCGGCGATCACAACCTACCCATCGCCCAGGCCTATGGGCCCAATTTGAAAGGACAATATAATACATTCATTTACGAAGTGCCCAATACAGTCTCTCATACTCACGGGCGAGATTAATGCGCATGTCGGAGTAGACGCTGAAAAGTGGAAGGGCGTGAATGCAAAAACGGCCCTAGCGACCACAACAATAACATATGAACTTATTCCGGTATTGTGCAAACAACGGACTGTCCATTATGAACACCGTCGAGAAGCCAAGAATGCACCAGTATACCTGATACCGAGAACCTCGTGCACAGAAGTCGATTTGATAATTGTATCGTCTGACTTAAAACGTTCAGTAATGGATATTCGCGTTAAAAGAGGCGCAGAGCTATCAACCGACACCACCTTGAGGTTGGCACGCTGCGCTTTAAGAAACGGAGAACCACACAAAAAGCCGGTGGCAAATGCAACTAGAGAATCAAATGAGACATTATCATCGGTGGACACGAGAGCGAAATTTGCAAACAACATCGCACGACGGTTTGAACAGATCCCGGTGATGACAACTGGTGTTGAAACCGAGTGGCAGCTCTTTAAGAGCGGCAAACTAGAGGGTGCCGCCGAATGTTGCGGAATTGAACGGGTTGGCCTGCCGCCTGGAGGTCAGGAATGATCTCCCTGGCGGACAGGAGAGATACAACTAGAGTTAAAAAGAATAACGCAGAGCTTAAGAAATGGCTTGGAAACAAAGGGACTTCTACTCGCGTGCGATGTCGAAACATGCAAGGCGACAGCAGAAGCAGTGGCGAAAGAAAAAGCTGATTCCTGGGAGACGTTTAGTGAGGTGATGGAGTCGAATTTCCACACGACAAACAAGGTATTCTGGCAGACCATCCGCCGGCTCTGAGGTAAAATAAAGGACAGCCTCAAAGTCTTGAAGGACATGACTGGACACCCTCTAACCAAAGATGGTGACATTCTTCAGCGATGACTGGAGTAATTTCAGGAACTCCTTAACCCTGCGCATCCGCC